GATATTCTGACTGAGAGAAGAAAAGGGCAACATATTTTAGAGTTGCTTTCACAGCATAGCTGCAATCTGCAAAAGAAATATTTTACATTTCACTCTACAGATTCAGTGGGGAAAATAAGTATTTGATGCAACACTGATTATTGAAGTTCTCATGAAAAAAATTTATATTGCAGTGTTTTTAAATATTTAATTATTTTACCGCATAAAATAAGTAATTTGTGAATGCATAATTATAGCCCTTTTTTACATTCACAAATCAATTAAGGGTTTCACAAATCACACACTAGGCTTTAAATATCCAGCTTTTAGTCTAAAAATAATGTAGTAGTCCTTGTTTGATGAGTCTGAGATTTGACACTTTAAAGTTTGAGCAAAACAAAAACTCTCAGGGTTTTAGAAAAATGAGGTGGAATCGCCCTTTAGCCAATCGGAAGCGAACTTCAGCTTTCTTATTGTTCATATATGTCGCTTACAAATATTGCATGCCAACCATTTTTCTTGATAAAGCTTTCTGTAATAAAAAAAGTACAAGCTGTGGCCGAACAGGCTACTAGGAATGCTAGTTGTTAGCCTATCCAAGGCTAATGGTAAAGTTATTCAGGTTAGCGGCTAACTTAGCCAATGCTAATGCCAGTGCATAATGGGCATGGCCTTTTGGTTTGTATTGTGTGAGCTTGCAGTGGATTCAATGCTGTTCTTCTCATTTGGCCAAAACAAACGGAATAGAAAATTCTAAACTTTTTATCACAGGGAATGTTTTTTAAATGATGCCAGTAGACGTTTTTCCACAGAAACAAGCAACACAAAATACAACAACTGGACCTGAGAGATATAATTTTTGTTTTTAGGTTTTTGTTGAGGTCTCCTCACAGTCTGAGACCCTTCAGTAAAGTCAAACGTTTGAGAACTGTCTCTGCTGGAGACGCTTTCCTGCAGACATACATCTATTCTCCAAAGATATGACTCTGTGAGCCATCACTGTTGAACTAAGTGATCTCTGTTGTTTGTTTTAAAGGAGCTGTTCTCTTCACAACAGTGCTACACACTCCATCACAAGCCAAAATCACATGGACTCTTATGCCAAGAATAGCCAAAGTTTTCGGGATTGTTTGTGGTACCGTGCAGAAATCTTTGTTTACTTTTATAAAGAAACACCTGTTGGCAAGCTGAAGGCTGTAGAGGTCGACATGTGGAGGAGGGGCTTTAAGGTGCACTATTATTGTGAAATGTCGAGTAAATAGTGGAAACTTGTACTTTTAATATGAAAACTTGTCACATCCTGTGAGGACCACATGCTGGCGTTCATTGCTGTCCAAGGAGTTACATAAACAACTGGTTTACCACAGTGGATCTAGAGTTAAATTACGTTTGTGTTAAAAAAACAAAAAACACCAAAGACGCGCTCTAATCTACGGGACATATTGTGCTAAATTTACATTTTGCATGTTTTTGTACTTTCATTTGAGTTCCATAACTATGCGGATGAGACACGGCTCCACATCACGACGTCACCAGGTGACTGAATAAATAACTTTCTGCTGCATTTAAGCTCAATATGCATGAATGCTTTTGCAGGGAACTAGAAAATACTCTTATACATGTGAGAAACATTTTTGGATGTGCCTGAGCACATAAATGTGTTTAAAAATAACTCCAAATAATGCATTTAAAATGAGTCGCATGGATTCCTCCCATTTTCATCAGGACTGAAGAGTTTAAACAAATGCTTAATCCAGTTGTTCAGAGTCAGTGTTATAATTTACTGGTCCTGAAATAATTCCCAACGCAGTGAACTTGGAGAGACTTGAACAAACTGCTGCGACTCTGCATAATTGATTTGTAATAAATAAGTGATGATGTAGAGGTGAAGAGGATACGGACGCTTGTGTCCCGATCGTGCCTTGGACAAACAAGGCCTCATGTTAATGAGACATTGATTTCTGCAGCACTGATATGGAAATATTCATTACCTGTCAGCACAGAAATTCATAATGTAGGCGGAGGAGAAAGTGAGGCAGAGGGAAGATCTGGGAGGTTGAAAAGGTCGCAGGCCTTCAGGCTCTCAGGTTAAAGAAGGCGCTAACACCGTGGTGTTCAGTTCCAGCTGAACTGGATGATTTAAAGGTTCACGGTCACATCAGTCAGGTGTTTCTAACACTAAAAACTTAAACATAATTCATTTTCCTTTCTCTTCTTTGCTGCAGATTCTACAGTAAAATGTTTTTTCTGTTTATATTCTTATTTGGATCTGAAGTACCAATCAGATCTGAGTTTGAAATGCAAACCGGATGCATTGTGCAGAAGACCAAGTTGGACATTTTCTGCATCTTCTTTTTGCTGATAGTTTTCTCAAAGGGATTCATACAAACAATTAGTGTAAAGAGTCTGAGTATATTGTGGATGTAGATGAATATTGGTATTATATCGGCATCTGCCATTCTAAAACACAGCCATGTTGATCGACCACGGCGCTTTGCACCAGGCTGAGCAACAAGCCGTCTTCGCTTCCTGGCTGCTATCACGTCGAATTGAGCAGCATTAAGTCATACAGATAAATAACGCCTGGACCGTCCCGAAAGGCTGCGTGGAATTTACTGAATTTAATGCATCCTGTCACGCTCACCTGGAAAGGGAAGGCGACAAATACCAGAGAGTCAGTGGGGATTTCTGAAGGGCACCGGGCTGAGAAACATTACAAACCATATGTTCACCTTTATGTGTTTTTAAAGATTTTACATTCATGCCACAAGTATTCGTTCTAAAATTCTAGCTGAGAATAAAAACTCATAGAGTAAAAGACAGATTAGCAGAAACTCGGCGGACTGCAGGAATTAGGTCAGCTGTGATCGTTTCGTGGGTGGACGGCTGCTTGTTACTTTACATTAAAACATTTGACATATTGTTTTATATTTTGTGGATGATGTTAATGTAATCCCGGATGTCACATGCAGACACATTCTGAGTCACTGAAAGGTCATCCAGTTTTGGCCTGAGTGAAATTAACCCTGAGACCCGGAACAGACCAAACTGCAGGGAAGAGGGCGGTGGTTCTGCAGCAGAGGGTTCTACAGCAGAGGGTTCTACAGCAGAGGGTTCTACAGCAGAGGGTTCTGCAGCAGAGGGTTCTGCAGCAGAGGGTTCTGCAGCAGAGGGTTTTGCAGAGGGTTCTGCAGCAGAGGGTTTTGCAGCAGAGGGTTCTGCAGCAGAGGGTTCTGCAGGTCTGTTCAAATGAGGGGAAAAAACCCAAACAGTGACCTGGTCTGATTCTGCACTGATTTGTCATAATTATAATTTTAGTTTTAGTCACGGTGTCACATTTCAGAAGCTTTCTAATGTTTCAGCTCAACTTTTTCTTGAGTCATTAAGTTACCAATTATTTTCAGATTGAATAGAATTGGTTAGAATAGATCTATATGGGAATTACAAAACATGTTCAGAACATTTTTTTCACAGTCATTCTTACATAATGAGATTTTTGTCTGATTAGCTCTGCCTATTTTGAGCTGTTAGGCCTCTTGTCTCTTTAAATCCAAATAATCTGCTGCTGGCCCTAAAATTCAACGTTTACACTGAAAGTGGCTGCAAACAGATCCGCATTTATACAACTGCAAATCTTTGAAAAGCAGAAGTGGAACCTCCTGCACAAATAAGAATGCACCAAGTGATTTCTGGATGGAAAGTGAACAACAAAACACTTATCTTTTCCAGCATTAATTGTATAGCGTTTGCACTGGGAAAACCAGCTGACCAAAAGTGTTGGAACTCAGCTTGGGTTGCTGGGTAACAGGTTGGAGTTGCTGGGTAACGGACAGTGTCTGGAATTCCGGAAGATTTTGAAATGGCTCATTTTCCAAACACCAAAAAACAGGAAGTTATTGGCAAAAAACAACAACATTGTTTTAATTGCTTGGGATGTTTTTAGAATCAGTAGAGACTCAAATGGAAGAACGTGAAAAATGAGAACTTTTGTGTTTCATGTCCCCTCTAAATATACTGAGGACAGAATGACCCAGGAACTCAGGGCTAATGATGGGAGTGGATGCAGCCTGTAAAGGTGGAAGCAAATGAGGAAATCATGATCAGCTGGGAAACCTGAACAGAAATAAATAGTAACACAATGAAACAAATGAAACATAACAGAACAAACAAAAATAAGAAAATAAGCAATACAAAAATAATCAAAAGAGCAGAGAAGTGAAATTTAAAGAATCACAACAAACCTGAAAACTGCTATTATCTGACTGATCAGTTTGAAATAATAATATTGTTCACTTTGTGCGTGTTTATGTTTGTTTTAATGAAGCTAGAGTTAATAAACAGCAGGTCTAGTTACAGGACGAAACGCGGCAGGATGAGTTCGGTCCAAGGTTCGCTTTGCGGAGGGAACAGGCGGCGGGACCCGGGGGGAACCTGCGGGATCTGGCGCGTAAAGCTGGAGGAAAACGGCGAGGCGGAAGAGACGCGATGTCTGCCCGACAAAATAAAAAGCAACATTTAACCCAAAAACTAACCAAACTCCAGCTTTTAATCACGTGGAATAATTAAGAGTTTATATTGATTGAATGGATCCTGTGAAACATTTAATGGAATATTTTATTGTTCTCAATTTACAGGAAATAAAACCTTTATTTTGTCATAACCCTAAACTTTCTGAGAACCAGTTACAAAAATGCATTTTAATAATATCTGAAGATATCAACATTAATGACAGATTGCGTTAACTTGTTTGACTTTGGGGAACAGAATTAAAAAAATAATAAAAAACAACAACTTTGAAATCCAACAACATTTCCGTAAATAACCTCCAGATTCTCTCGCATCCTCCTCGATTTTGCTTCATTTTTTTTTTTTTTTACTTTCCTCCGCAATAATCCCACCATCTTAATCTGAAATCATCACCGGAAACGTCGCGCGCGGTAACCGCTTTGCGCGCGTGTCTGGCACCCGGCGTGGTGCGCACCGCTCCTCATTCCTCTCCAACTCCTCGTCAGTGCGTCACAGACCGTCTGAGCGCGCAAACACGCACACGGCCATCCCTCTTTCCTCTCGCGCACGCCTACAAACGCACGGACACGCGCAGTCACGCACAAACACTTTTTGTCGGACCCGAGAGGAGAGAGAGGAGAGGAGAGGAAGAGTGAGCCCCCTTGTCTCTGTCTGGTTCTCTTGTCCACCAATGCGCGGATTTTATCCTTCCTCCTGGAGACAGGACCGGGAAGCCAGCAGCTGGACCAGACTGGAGCATGTAAAGTGATTCTGTTCGGCGAAGTGCAGCAGAACCAGAACAGAAAGAGGAGAAGAGATGGATGAACGGAGTTATTGTCGCGCTTTGCCGACAGCTTTTCTCTGCGTGGTACTTTTGGGATTTACTGAAGGGCAGTTCTTCCCAGGTAGGAACTCCGTTAATTTCTCTGATTTATTTCTCCTTTTTAAGTTTCTTTTAAAAGAAGAAGAATCCAGATTGTTGGGTGGATTGATTTCATGTCTGATCCGTGGAGAAAACTTGACATGTAACCCACAAAGAATCTGCTGAATCCTTAAAGTTCAGGTGTTCAGTTTTGATTTTCCTCCAGGAAGTTTTCCCTCCAGGAATCTCATCAAGCCTTAAAGCTTTAAATTGTTTTAAACACGAGTCCAAATTAAAGCATCTCGCGAAGTTTTCCCTTTTTGTATTTGCGCCCTGAGGTCTGGAAACATGATTTCATGACACATTTCTGTCCATCAGATGTCCATGTTCACCTCCAGGTCCAAATACAGGAGACAGGAGTCTGAGCCAATTTACCTGAATTTCTATGAAAATGTCTGGATCACCGGGAATCCGGAGCGCGTTTTACGCACCGGAGAGAAACCTGCACGTTTCCAAAGACTGTATGGAAAAGCTCTAAAGCACCGGGCATCGTTTGATTTAATGCTGAAATACTCACTTTTTATGTTACTATTTACACATTTTTGTGTAAGAATATAGTAGCCAAATTCTTCAGTAAATATTTAAACAAGACGTAAATTCAGCTGTCTGTTAAAACTTTGCTTTCCTGCTGGTTTTCAGGAGATCATTGATTCATTGTTTGATCTGAAGTTTTACCAGGATGGTTTCTTCATGACAGTGCAGCAGCCTGTCCGCTTTGTGTGCAAGCCGCTCACCCAGCTCGCTCTGCTTGGTATTCATGACCTGTAGGATCGCAGAAAGAGGCTGCTCTGAAGGGGAGACTGTCTCCGAGCTCTGAATCCTCCTTTAACTCTTCATGCATCTCCCCTGTGTTCCTGCGGAGCCACAGACCGAGCCGCTGTCCGCGCGTAAAGATGCAGCCCGACTTTCCTGTTGGCTCGTTTCTTTCAATTAAAAATCTCCAAACGCAAATTCAAACTCCTTCGTGTCTATAACAACCTTTATTTAAAAAAACCCAAAAAAACAAAACAAACCCCCCCCCCAAGATTTTAGTTTACACCAGTTGCGGAAGAGTGACAACTTTAATTTACAGCCACGTATAATAAAGCTGCGTTTGCTTTCCCTTTTATAATGTTCTTCGAATGCACTCAAAACCTCCCGTCTGGGACATTTTTACGCACAATCGATTTTTGTGTTGTAAATTTCCCTGTAAATTTGCTTTAGAAAGAGTTTATCAGGGTGCTGTTCGCAGGTCTGCCGTTAGAGGGCGACATTGGTCCATCTGATCTGAGGTTCCCACGCGCACAAGCCTTCAGTCACCGGGATGTTTCTGATGATGCCTTGTTCTCCCTCTTCAATCTGACTGCTTTCAAGTTAGCAAAGAACTCAATTTAGGCACAAAATTTGGTGAAATAAGATTTAAATGAACATTTAGATGTGTTTTGCACAGCAAGAGATAAAACGTAACGCTTGTTTGATGAGGTTGAAGTCATAAAAAAGGATTTATTTTTGAGCTTTTCTTGTTCAGGTTCAGGTAATATATTCCGAATTGATGTTTGATTTTCTTCGGCAGCAAGGACAAAAAGGATGAAAGGAGGAGAATGAAGGAGAGACGCAGTCCGACATGTTGAGGAGGATTTAACATCCTTCAGGTCAATTAGAACAGCCTTGATATGATTAGTGAGAGGTGTGACAGGAACATGTAGGGGAAGTGCAAAAAACAGAACGAGTAGGGAGGATAGGAGAGGTTCAGGAGGTGAAGTTTAGATGAAAGACTTTGGGGAAGAATGAGAGAAGGAGGAAGAGACAGGATGAGGTCACAGGGACGGGATCGCAGAGGAAAGACGGGATGAATAATAGAAGAAAAGATCTGGGAAGCAAAGAGGAGGTGAAAGGACGAGACTGTGGGGAAGCAGATAAGTCTTGTCCTCTTTTGTGTCGCTCATCACTCCCGTCCAGAGCAGAAATGTAAAAGTGGGATGGAGAAAGAAAATGACACTAAGTTGATTAGGTCTGACTGTTATTGATTGTCTGAGTGGTTAAAGACAGGGAGAGCTTTATGACAGGATGTCTGTCACCTCGTCAGTATGCCGGCCGTTCTCCCTCTGTGTGTGTCGGCCTAATCCACGGCACTTATTCTATTGGCCTGACGAACTGACAGCCTAATGGCAGCGCATGTTGAGTGCTGCTGGTGTGTGTGTGTGTGTGTGTGTGTGTGTGTGTGTGTGTGTGTGTGTGTGTGTGTGTGTGTGTGTTTTAGAGACGCAGCGTTGGGTATTGAGTGAGGGCTGCTGGATAGAGAGTAAATGCTTGAGAGAATTAGGCTTGTTAAAATTTTGCTGGATGAAAAATTTTCTCTGAAATTATTGTTGTTTTGAGACCATTTTCAAATAATACACTTCGACAAATGACAGTGTTGAAAAGATGTTTGAGATTTTTGTTATAAATTTAACGATGCGTTCACACCAGTCCTATTTAGTCCACTTTAGTCCAACTCCAATCCATTTGTCTCGAAAGTCCGGTTCGGTTAGGGACGTGTGAATGCTGATCAAACTCTGGTCCCGCTACAAACTTTGGTCTCTGTTCGTTTGAAGTGAACTCTGGTGCAGTTTGAAGGTGTATGTGAACGCCAAGCGGACCAGAGACTGCCCCAAAACTAGAAAGTGGACTATAGTGCAGGGGATTCTGGGTATATGCAACCAAAACAAACACACTAGCCTCGTGCTAGAGGGAGAAATTACTGAGCTTTTGTTTTTTTTGCCAAACACAAAAAAGAAATCCTTCAACCGCTAAAACCTGACGCCACTCCATTTCTGCTTCCATTTTGCGAATTATGCTCAGTGTCTTCTTTAGAGATTTTTCTGTCGTTTCCTTTAGTAATTTTCAGCGCAGCGCCCCACAGGCGAGGAGGGGAACAGGTTGCTCAGTTAGTTTGTAAAGTGAGAAAGAGAACCACATCAGCTGAAAATGTAACAAATGTTGTCGTTTTGGCCCCGAGTTGAATCAAATGTACCGCACTGTCAGGTGGGAAAACACCTCAGCTGCATTTCCTTCAATCAAAAAATTGAGCAAATTAAAAATATGAAACCTGCAACATGAATCTTTTATCAAGAATATGTTTTGTACATATTTGTTAAAACTGTCATTGTTAAACCGCTGAAGCTAGCATATCATATTCCAATCAGAAAACGGTGTTTCTGTGCAAATGCTATCCATTAGCATGTAGCGTAGCATTGCACATTCATATTTTAACTTTCCAAGACGCATTTTCGTTCAAATATTTTAGATATGCTGCGTGAAAAATCAAATAATTAGGATTTACACTCCACAGAAAAATCAGAGAAGTGAAGCAAGGATAGTGTGATTTACACCTGCAGAGTTTATAAACAGCTGCATATTCAGGTGAATCTGCTGCTCTTTGCTGGAGTCTTCACTGCATTTATGACCAGAAATATTAAAAAGTCAGAGATAGGAAGTATTGGGCTCATGTTATTCCACAGACAATCTTTTTTTATTACAGCTGAAGGTTTTATTACGTTATAACTGTTGAATAGAAGTTTTAAACATGGCGGTCTCCATATTTGAGCAGGCTGTTGGTGTGAATGAGACCTGAAAGAAGCTCTTCACTTCTCTGTGATTAAACTGGGACTTTGGTTTATTCTGGAGCCACTTTGGTGGGATAAAATCAACTAAACATAACTTATACGAAGGATATTCTTCTCTCTTTCTCCAGGATATGCATATTGATAAACAATTTATGTTCAACATAAGTTCTGGTAGTTGGAAAACTGCCTGTTTAAATCCCACACATTTCAGAGGAGCACTAAAATCTGTAATTTAGATTTTGAACATTAGCCCTGAAGGCGTCATTTCAACACAGCTGTAACTGTAAAAACATTGTGAGAGAAGCAAAAATCAGATCCGGACGTGGTGAAAGAGTGCGTTAATATTTATCCATAGGAAGATTTAAACAACCGTCGGTTCAGATGGTAAATCTGACAGATTTAATTCAACCCGTGTTTTTTTCCTTTCTTCTTTCTGCTGCTCAGCTTTTGTTGCAGCGCTGTGCTTCTTTAACAGGATCCTAAATAAAATATGTGCCTGGTGGACATCAACTCTTTCATCATACCAGAATGAAAATATTTGTTGTAATCAGAGTAATCAATTACGTAAATTACAGAAGTATAATTTCACAGAAGCTCATGAATTATACAGCGCTCATAAATGATAACCCGGCCTGAATCTCCCCGTCTTCACAGTGGACATGATGGTTTCCTTCGTATGTTTGAGCAGCTGAGAGCCAGCAGACAGAAATGAGGTGGAAAATGTTTTTGTTTTTGTCTTTTAGAGGCTGTTAGCTTCAGCCTGGGGGCACGATGGAGCAGATGCTCCTCATTTCTCCTGGTGTTTTACACTCTGACTTCACCTTCAGAGAGAAACGCTCACGCTCAGTGTCCGGTCACTAAATTTTCAGATAAAACTTACTCTACTTTTACCATTGGTGAATGAAATGGAAACATCTAGAGAGCCCAAAAGTAATCACTGCATTACTTGTTTAATGAGTGCAGGCAGAATGCTGTATATTGATGAGAATAGCTGCAAATGTGTGCAGAACTTGCAGCTACGAATGTAATTGCGTTTGTTCACAAAATAGATCCTGACAAACATGCTACGCTTTATTCTTCAACCACTTCTTGTCGTCTTTGTTGTTTCTGCCAGTAGTAACATCGGGTTGTTGATTCATGTGATGTGAAAACGTATTTTCATCTCAGTTTTATGAAATATACAAAATGTTGACGAGGCTGAAAAAACACGATATCCCAGCAAAAACAATAACATTTCTGAGTTTGAAAAGTAAAAACGTTTCTAGAAAAAAAACAAAGAAGTTTCTGAGTTTCTAAAGTCATTTTGAGTTTTCAGTTTTTGGTGTTGCATAAAATTCAGAAAGGATCTCAAAATAGCAGAACTGAACAGAACTGATAAAAATCTCATTACATAAGAAAG